ACGTCGAAAGCAATCGTTGAACTCCGGGATGGCTGCTAATTCTACAGGCCCTAGTGCTTCCACCGGAGAAGCTCTGTCGCCGACTGTCCGACTTCGTGACGGAAACGGAGCTTCCGGTACCGCTGGCCTATCAGCAACCTGCGTTCTTGATAACAAGGATCAAATGATCAGATCTGGCTTAGTTGGGATGAGTAAACCCTCGACAGTGCCGTCAAGGCGACCGGCAGAGGGCAGCAACAACAGTTGTTTGCAGACACCAGCCTTGTCTGGCGTTCAGTTGGCAACTGTACCCTTCTGCAGCAGCTTTGAGTGCGGATCGTCGACTTACACAGACCAGAATGTAAAGGCCTCTAGCGCCGCAGCACCCTTTTTTCTTCAACAACAACAGCAACAGAAACAGCGTTTATCACATCTCCAGTCGCCAGCAGATTCCTCACCTATGTCCGCTGGAACGCCTGTTAACGAGAATACAAAATCCGCCTCATCGGCAGACACTCCGCTCTATGCTGCATCCACGCCAATGCTTGTGCGGGACACATCTTTAGGATCCGGCGCGTTGGGTAAGTTAACTTTTTGATACTCATTCCCATTCAAAGGAATGAAAACTAATGCCTTTATTTATTCTATGGCCTATTGACACTACTATTTATGCACTAATATGGATATAATTTATTCAAGCATTTCTTTGTACTATGAAATAGGAATCTAATAATAATAATTCCATGAATGATGATAGTGTTGTTGTTTCCACTTATTTCTACTGCAATTATTTGCTCTACTCCCCTCATCTCATACTATCGCTAGATTTCAATGGATTTCTTTATATTCCCTTAATGTTGTGCCTATAGATTACTTTACCTTAATTGAAATGCCCTATCGCATATGAGCGCGCCTTATGCATTTGCATGTCTTTTTAATTTTCTATTGGCTTTATTCGAGTGCCTCTAAATGGATGCTTAATTAGCCCAGCTGAATGTCCCTTCATTTTGAGAGGCACACCTTTCAGTGACATCATTTTTCTTTTTAGCATAAAATACATTATCTTTTAACTTTCCTAGTTATTTTTATCCAGATTATATTGTTTTAGAAACTACCAGTAGATGGAAACATGACCGGTATTCGCCCTAGGTCACATAAGACTGTGAAGGACGGGTAGTTGCAATTTTTCCACAATTCTGTGATTCGACTTTAGGTGGCCAGGTTAACTGAGACCCAATTGCACCGGGAGGTCTGCTTATATAATTTTGGGGAAAATTAGCTTCGAATCTCGCCATCTCATGTGATTTAAGATGAATACTACTTTTTGTTGCTTTTGTCGTAAAGCGTTTAGGGTTAATTGCTAAATTGACCTTTTAATAGTAAATATTATAACTAAGATGATGCGGTCTTGAATTTGGTTGTAGTTTCCTTTAGCTTAATAGAGTTTGGTTGATCTCGTTTTTACAACTTGGTCGGGGCGACAAGGAGACCTTGTAGACTATACCCAGTCATGTGTCATCTTCAATAAAAACCATTATACTTTTTAGAATCGGACCGTTATTATCGTACATTCCTGGACG